GATTCTCAGGCCCTAGGTAGAGTGCATGAGTGAGAGGCAGTAACAGCTGCACTGAGACCCCACCACTGGAGAGGGTGGGGTCATATTTGGTGGCACTGCCTGGGCCAGTTGGGAGTGCATGAATGTCCCCTTCAAGCTCCAGTCCTGGCAGAGCTTTCCCCATATGCACTGGCTATAGGAGCCCCTACCTAGCTCATAACTGAGTCCCAGTGGCAACTTGTGGCCTGCTCATGTCCTGTCTCAAATCCTGGCAGTGCTCACTTCCTGCACCAGCCATTGCTGCCCTTGCCTTGCTCACTTCCTATACCTGGATGCAGAATCACTGCCAGCTCACTCCTGGGACTCAGCAGTAACAGCCAGAGTTTCTGTAATGCTCCAGGACGGCATGCAATTTGCCAGAGGCTAGGTTTGAAAGTGGCACCTTGCTGCAGCTGCTAAGGTCTCAGAAAGGGTGTGGGACCCAGTGTGGGCTCCCTTCCTATAGTAGTTCCATCCATATTAGACCAGTAGATCCCTTTGTTAGTTTTAGGGGTTGGGAAGGTTGAGAGTATTCTCCTTGAGCCAGGATTGTGTGATTCCACAGTGGGGCCGCTGGAAGGCTCTCCCTCACTCTTTCCCTGCATTGGAAAGTGACTCTTGGCTCCCAGTCCTGGGATCCCAGTCCTTTTCAGTCATGGAGGCTGCTTCTCCTTCTTTTCCTCTACTTTTGGTGTCCCTATCCTGTCACTTCTCTGTCGAATTCCAGAGTTCTCTCTTGGGTGATGTAGTTGAAGTGTGACTATTTATGCATTGCTCTGTTTCTTCTAAGTGGAGAAGGCAGCATAAAATGCTGCTAGTCAGTCATCTTGAGCCTCCTCCCCTTCTATTAGTCTTTTAATTTCTGTAGAATCTGTAGTTGTATCTCTTCTTTCTTTACTGATATTATTTGTATTGTTTCTTTTTTTATTCTTGATCAATCTTACTATGTGCTTGTTGGTTTAGTAATCTTTTCAAAGAACCAACTGTGGTATCTCGTTTCTGGCCTCAGTATGTTTTGTCATGCTCCTCTTTTTATTTCTTAAAATGGAAGGTTGTATATCACTGATTTTTAACTTTTTTTCTAATATCCACTTAAAGATATATTTTTTCTCTAAATACTGCTTTGAATTAATCCAAAAAGATGAATTTGCTGTGTTTTTTTCATTATGTACTTTGAAATAGTTTAAAATTTCTCTTTAAATTTCTTCTTTGATTTGTGGATTATTTAAAAGTATGTGCCTTAAATTCCAAATACTTATAATTTTTCTAGATATCTTACTCCAAATTTGAAATTACTTTGCAGTTTGTGGCTGGAGAATATTCTTTGTATTACTCAGTCATTGGGCATTTATTGAGACATTTTTAGGGCCCAGAATACAATCTTGGTCATTGTTCTATATGTGCCAGAGTACAAAATGTATTTTATAGTTTTCAGTGTAATGTCCCATTCAAGTTGGTTGACAGTGTTGCTCAAATATTTTTTTTCTACTGAATTGTGTCCACTTTTTCTTTCAATAACCAGGAAAGGAGTGCTAAATTCTCCACCTATGTTTGTGAATTTGTCAATTTCTTCCTTTAGTATTGTCAATTTTTGCTTCGTGTGCTCTCAAATTCTGTTAGTTGGTATAGTTTAGAATTATTATGTCTTTTTGATAGACTGATCCTGTTATCATTGTAAAGCATTCTCTTTAGCTCTATTCATATTCCTTGGCTTGAAGCCTATTATTTTTTTCTTGATATTAATATGACCACAAAGGGTTATCTTTTGATTGTGATTTGCATAGTATATATTTTTCATCTTTTTAACTTCAATGTATATATGTATTTATATTTAAAGTATATTTCATATATATAGCATTGAGTATTATCTTTTTAAAGTTCAGTGTTCTAATTTCTGTCTTTAATTGAAGTGTTTAGTCTGTTTACATTTCATGTAATTATTGATATGATTGGATTTTAATACACCATAGTATTATGTTTTTTATGTGTACTGTCTGTCTTGGTTTCTTACTGTTTGCTTTTGTTGTTTATATTATTTTCATTTATATATTTATTTATTTATTTAATGTAACTGGTTTCTCTGTGGCAGTGATTCTCAAACTTTCTGGTCTCAGTACACTTTTTATACTCTTAAAAGTTAATGAGAATCTCAAACAGCTTTTGCTTACGTAAATTATATTTATCAATATTTATCTTATTAGAAATTAAAACAACCTTTTAAAATACAAGCAGTTGTAGCCCTCCTTCCTGTGGGACTGCTCACTACTTTCAGGTGAACCAAGAATGTTTTCATTCCAGGGATGCAAACGATTAGCAAATAGGCTCTGTGGAGTACAAATTGAACATTCATAGCCCATTTCTGTCATTGGAATAACACCCAAATTCATAGAGATGTTGTAGAAATTACTCTGAATCCAGCTTTTGGAGAAAGATTATTCCAGAATCCAAGTTTTGGCTAAAAATCAAGGTATAAGGAGGCTTCTATTAATCTCTTTGAATGAGTAAATCTAAGAAATGCCTTTATGAATTAGTAGGAGATGAAAGAACGTTGTAAGGTTAGTATACAAACCAGCACACTTGGATAAGGAATTTGTTACACAATGAAGTTCAACCTGGAAGGGTGGCAGAGGTATTTGTGTTTGTCAAGGGTCCTTACCTCTGCTCTATTTTTCCGAATAGATTTTCTACAGACTGAAATTGAGGTTAAACTGTGGCTAATCAGGGAGATGTTACCATTCTTTGAGGCAGTAAATAGAGAGACCAACAGAAAATCTTTAGGATGTGCCTTTTGAAGCTATCTATCTTTTTAATAGCCTAGAATAGTTGATTGACTGCTTAATGCCATTTGAATGGGTAATAAAAGGAGTAACCAGGACTACTATGTCCATTTTTTTAACCTTGAGCCCGAATAAATGAGAAAAAAACACTTTGACATGTACATCGATATTAGAAAAGCAATTACAAAAAGGAGTTCACAAGAATAATCTTGAGCAGTGGCGGGAAATCAGACTTCTATGGAACAAATGACTGCTGGTATTTATTTTTTATTACTTCACAGAGTTGTTTTGAAGCTTACCTGAGTTACTACATATGATGTACATAAACAGTGCTAAACACCCAATAAACATTGACTACTATCATTACTAGCAAAGCGGGTTCCATTATTATATTTCACAGAGACTCAGTGTGGTCAAATAATCTGCCTAAGGGCCCACAGGTAACAAGTACTAAAGATAACATTTGAACTAAAGACTTATGATTCAAAATTCAGTCTTCTATCAACACACTATGATGCTAATTCCATAGGACAAGTTTCCTGTGGTCTAATTTATTCCAAATCAGTTTATATAGAAAAAATAAAAGATAATTTACACCTAGTGAAATAAAAGATATGCTTGAACATGCCCATTCAAATCACAGGATACAAAATACTGTAGCTTGAAAATGTTGTGCTTAACTTATTCATAGTTTTTTATTCATAAGATTTGTACTTTAAAATCACTTATTCCATAATCTGCATTTACAGAAGATAACTGGGTGTGATTTAAGTACTTTTTTCTGTCTTAGAATTAGTAGTGAAATTTGATCAATAGCACAATTATTTAAGACAGATGTTAGTACATATGTATGGAACTCAGTATTGGAAATGTATTTGTGCCTCCCAAATACATTTGCCAATGTAAGAAAGTGATGACAAGTTTAACTATGGTTGTTATAGTGTAGAAAAAGAGTATTCACTTTTGGAGATCCTGAAAAAAAAAATCCTTCAGGGATTTTTGCTGCTTGGCTGAATTAAATTTGCTTTGTTACCACATGGACTTCAATAGAACCAAACAATTCTAAAAGTATCCATGCTAGGCAAGACAGTTTTTTTTTTTTTAAAGATCTAAACCACAAATACATTACTTAGAGCAGGCGTCCTCAAACTATGGCCCACGGGCTACATACAGGTGTTTTTGCCCGTTCTTTTTTTTTTTACTTCAAAATAAGATATGTGCAGTGTGCATAGGAATTTGTTCATAGTTTTTTTTAAAACTATAGTCCAGCCCTCCAGTGGTCTGAGGGACAGTGAACTGGCCCCCTGTTTAAAAAGTTTAAGGACCCCTGATTAGAAAATTAGAAATTTTCATAAAACAACAGAATAAGTTAGCACAACTCTAGTTGATAATGAGAAGTCTAAAAAATGACAGCTTTCTTATGTTTTTTGTAATTATACTGTTGAGTTTCTTAACTATGGTGAAAATTGTACTGTTTTACAAGCAAACTGTTTAAGAAACACAACTAGAAACTTAACTCTTGTTATTCATAAATTTGGGTGGCAAGACCTTTTTGCAGGAGTCATAACAAAATCATGTGCCCTGCTGGCAGGTCTAGACAGAGGAATAACACGGATATCACCCTGCATTTAGACAACTGTTTTTTCTGTGTGAGTGGAATTGGAAAATAGGAATCACTACACTGATGCATTTACTTGTTAGTAAATGTGTGCTCTACTTAACATGCTTTCACTCTTTGTCAAACTTTTTTTTTTCAGAATTAATAATCCAGCAAAGATAGCAACTTGCCATTCCTGTTTGTAACATTAACATTTTAGTCCATTCCTTTTTCTACTTTATACACAAGCATGTTCAAAGCTATTTCTCACTTAAGGTTTGGGGTCATGGTCACTGTGACGTCATATCTTTTTAAAACGGACATGAGGATACACTGGAAACCAAGTCCTACTTCACCATAACAAACTAAACCATACGGCAATTGCTTTGAAGTTCCATTATATTAACATGCTCCTGAGATCATTCTTTCCTGAAAGGCACCTGAACTCTTTTGTGGCTTGTATTTCATCTCTCTCTCTCTCTCTATATATATATATATATATATATATATATATATACACATATATATGTAACAATAGCATATAGTCACAATACTTATTTACAAATGTACTCATTTCAAAATTTACTTTAAAAGCATGATAAACTCACCTTAGAGAGCCCACCTACTTCCAAATAAAAGCAGATAATGAACACATTCCAGGTGACCCAGAGGGCTGTCCATACTGTATACTAGACAGAAAGGGGAAGGGAGAGAGAGCAGAAACATGTGAAGATGAAAGGCATGTGTACTAAATAAATCAATAATAAAATATCAATAAGTTTGTCTTTTGGAAAGAAACAGGGGATGCTCAGAAAACAGTTCTCCCCTAAGATCTCTAGAAATTAAAAATCCAATAGTTTCTACTGTTTTCAAGAGACACCAATAAAGCTAGATTTACTTTTAAAGTGCTTTGCTGGCTTGCAGGTACAAGTTAAATCCAAGTGCTGTTTGGATTTCTGTTTTCTGAGTATTGTTTTTTTCCAGGGAACACAATTATGCAAATTTTCTTTAAGCTCTCTATGTATCATTTTTAAGTTATTATATAAAACTGTCAAGTGTTTAGGAATGTTAGTCAAAATCCAGCTTGAATGGAGAGCATGTTTGAAAATAAATGCGTGGAGTAAAACAAATTTTCATCTCTTGGATTATTTAATTAAGAGTATCATGTGTGCTTCTAATACAATCACATAATAAAATTACAATCATGTAACATATTTTTAAAACCCACAGAAATTAATAAACAGGATTAAGAATAAGCAAATGAACAATAGATTTCCATAATGGAAAAATGCCTTCCAATCCTATCCAATAAACTCTAAACCTGCTGGCCTTACTGATTAACTGGTTTTATTAACATATTATGTATTATAGAATACCTTCCCCTAGAGCATTAATCAATATTAATTAAGGTAGCCCTAAATTGAGACTCATCAATGGAGAGTATATCAGGGCTCATCTCACCCAGCCACTTTCATATGCAGACAAAGAAACTGAGGCCCAGAGAACTGACATACAGAACAGCTTGGATCACTGATCATAGTACTCACTGTAGCACACAATTAACACATTGAATACAATGGTTTGCCCATTCATTTTATTGTATCACAAAATCTATAAATTCTTAATTTCTTAAATAGACACACTAATTAAATTATTGCATTCCGTCAGTGATTACAATTGTTGCATACTGTCTTTAAATTAAGATAAATAATGAAATCATTTCGTTAGCTTTTTCTATGCTGTGTCAAATAATAGAATTATGAGTTTTAGACTCTATATAAAATAGCCACATTCCTATTAAAAATGTTACCAGAAGCTTTTAATTATTTGTAAAATTCAATTGATATTTTGTGTCATTTTGCCATTTATGAATTTTTAAGGTCTCATAATGATCTCATGTAGTTGTGTAGTCCTATTATTGGTAACATTTGATGTACCACTGTACATTATTTTTTTTTTTGAGAGGGGGTTTTGGTTTTGTGTTGTTTAAGAACAATACAATGATAATAATAAGTTAAAGCTTCCAAAATCACTGGAAATTTAGTTGGAAAATAGGTTAAAATGTTAACACAAGTAAAAACACATATATTGCTGATGTTACAAATCTTCAGTTCATAAAGTCTCCTAGTGTGAGTGGACTTAGTTGTTAAAAATGTTCCAAATATATTGAAACACACTTTTCTGAACCATAAAAAGTTCCCACAAATATTGAAAATATTTAACCTACATCCTTAATGCATAATTTTTGCAAATCACAAAAACCACAACAAATTCTGAAGCTCTTGCTAATAAGATGGCATCTAACATCTGATATTTTCCATTCTAAAAAATAAATCTAACTATAAGCATTTTGGAATGGGGGAGCAATGTTGACCTAAGTCATGCGAAGAAAGTGACAAAGGTTAAGAAAACACTAAAGTAAGAAAATTAACTAAATTAATTACAAAACCATATGATAGGACTTAATTATTAGAACCTAATCATAACCTACAAATATTCTTTTGGTCAATTGATTCATAGTTATAAAAATGCACAATAAAACATATCAATTTAGAAATCACAGCAAAAACTTAGTGACTGAAGTGTATTCAGGAGCCCCCGCATGTGGTATTATTGACGCTACTTCTGAAGTTTCAGAGATAAAATTACCAGGGTAAGTAAACTCCAACTGTCAATTCCTACCTTTTAAACAGTAATAGGGGTTATTATTCTTGTGCTTTCTGTGTTCCTGGTACTGTACTAAATGCTTTACATAGATCATGTCACTCAGTTATCACGCTAAAACTGAGGTAGAGAGGTAGTCGTTTAATCACCTATTTAGTGTCACAGTTAGGATTTGAAATCTGACAGTTTGACTCTTAAGCTGGGATACTTAACCATCACAGGTTATTTTTTAAAAGATCTTAGGAAAAGGACTATAGATTAATTGCAAGTTAATCCTTCATCAATTTAGCAATTTGTCAATGACCAATTCACCAAATTGCCAACTTAACAAAAATTATTTTATGGCTATATGTTTTATAACTTGCAATGTTTTAGAAATGACAGTATCTTTTGTATTTTGCAATTAATGTGACATTCATGATATCAACATTGTGAGTCATTTGTTTGTTTGTTTAAGCAACATTGTAGAGTTTCTAATGCAAACATATTAGAAGTTTTGTCTAATAAATTTGTATTTGTTGAGAACAAAGAATATTTGTATTGTTGAATTTGGGATTGTTATGAGATGTAAACTATATACCTTGATGTGCACTTGAGATGGAAGTCTGATCATAAACGTGAAGGAAAAGAGAAATCTAGTGGTACAAATACATCTACAGGAATTTAACTAGGAAGGATTAGGACAACCTATGGCATAAGAGGCTAGCTAACCTCCCTGCCTTATTTTTGAAGTGGGTTATTTTATTTATAATTCAAAAATTTAAAAAAGAGATAAGGCTCTCCATTCTTAACAAATACCCTTTTGTTGTTATGGAGCATGCCTACATGCTCACATGTCCGGATACATTAGATGTATTTGCAATAAAGGAGATAATTTCTCAATGTAAGGAAAATAAATCGCTGTGTATACTCTCTCTTTCTCTGTATCCTACTTTGCTTATTGTCAGTGTATATATTTTAAATCCTAATTCACATAGAAAAGGCCTGTAATGATGAAAAAAGAATATCTATGTGTTGTATGTGGCTTCCTAAATATTTCCTAGTTTTACAAGGATATTTCAGCACTTTCTAATTGAAATGAACTTTGGAAGTTTTCCAGTCTATTTCTTCCCCATTGAGCGGTTAGTCTACAATATAAATTATTTTTGCTTTCTGAGCTTGCCTATTTTCCAAGTAGGGGAAAAGCCATTCATTCATTTATTCATTCTTTCACATTTGACTCAATCTGTTGCAATATTATGCAAAATATGCTAGACTTACAACAAAAAATAGGGTAAGTTTCTTGGTCATTCATTGTTGTAGCATTTTCTGGAGTTTAGTATTCATGTCCAGAAGAATTTTAAGAGCAACCTACGATCCCTACATTTTAATGGCAAGAAAAGCAGAGTGAAGGGGGGTGGGGGACGACACTAACTGATCAATCATTTGTGTTAAGCCATGGTAAGCAAGTTACATTATATAATTCTTAAAAGTGATCTATGGCTCCGGTTTTTTCAAATGAGATAACGATGGCATAAAGAAAGCAAATAAATGTCCCAAGGCTTCAGAGCTGATAATTGGTGGAGAGGGATTTAAATCTGGTACCAAATGAATCAAAACCAAACAGTCTTAACTTTATGTTGAGCACTAACACAGAGACAAGATTTATGATGACATAGCAGAGAAATGTTCCTATATAACAATTCAAATTAAAACAAGTTTTTGTTCTTTGTACATGAGCATTTGCATAGAAGTCCAAATAAAAAGTTGTAGACCTAGCAAATTTGCTTAGTATTTTTAAAAATTTTTAAAGGCATTTTTGAGTTAATTTGAATTCTAAATTAATCTTATTTCAAAAAATTAAATATATTTGTTAATTTATCTACCTTCAAATTAATTTAAATCTGCTTGCTTAAATGAACAGCCATGAAATACTAAAGATTTATTTATTTATTTTTTATTTCATCATATTATGGGGGTACAAATTTTAAGGTTTCAAATAATGCCCTTTCCCCCGTCCCCCCACAAGTCTGCGCTTCAAGCGTGACCATCCCCCAGATGGTGCACATCTCACTCATTATGTATGTATATACACCTCGCCCCACTCCCACCTGCCTCATACCAAATTAACATAGTTCCTATGTGCCCATTAGGTGCTGCTCAGTTAATACAAGTTTCCTGGTGAGTATATGGAGTGCTTGTTTTTCGATTCTTGGGATACTTCTCTTAGTAGAATGGGTTCCAGCTCTA